TATATGTGTCAGGGTTAACAATGACCTGGGTATGAGATCAGTCACTTTATTTCCACTGGAAAATTCTCCTATTCTCCTTTAATAAAATAATTAAATTCTCTGCAGTGTAAAGAATTTATTGGTTAATTCTTCTTGGGAGTCGCTTGTCTTGACTTTGTTCAATGTTTTGTAAAATTCAAGATTAGGCTCATTATATTAAGAGCAGGATTCAAATCTATTTCAAATCTCATAATGGCATCCTCTCCTGCTACAAAATCTTGTCCTGGACTGAATATGGGAAGACAAAATTAGTCCTTTTCAAGAAGCAATCATCAAAGATCAATGACCATCAAAGTGCTTTACTTGGGGGAAAAAGAAAGAGGCCAAATTTCAAGATAGCGCAGACAGTGAGACTGGAGTGCTTGAAGCTGGTGGAATTTTTTTAAGTCATTCACAAATACTATATCTACCCTTGACAGGTCATTTCATTCTATTTAGCACTTTTTATTCTCTGTGGTTTATAAGCTCTTAAGCAAATGTAAGAGGGAGGAAAAGCTAACGTGTCTGATAATACACTATATCAGGCTGACAACCTAACTGAATTTCCCCTGTGGTGCTAGCAAAATGCTGTTCCAAAAAGTAATAATGCATACCAAAAAAAAAAAAAAAAAAAAAGACGAAAAGGGGGGAAAAAGGATCATAAAGATCATGCCGTCACATTTAATTTCAGAGAACAAAACCTGAAGCTGATTTCTCTTTAGATCAGTTGTATACCAGTTGGAACATGGGTGCCTAGCGCTGCGACAGAGTAATATGATCTGAGCTTTAAATAGCTGCCAAATAACCATGTGGTGGCTGGCAGCATTAAACGTGTTGCAATGAGAGTGATCTGTTTCAAAGTAAAGCCACATAACAGAGGATAAGTCAATCTGATGTGGTATAGAAAAGGACGGGGGGGAACGTTTTTCATTATCTTTCTGAGTTTCTTTCTGGTTTAAATGTGTTTCCATCTTAAAGATGCATTCATTTAAGGTCTTTTTCTTAAACTGTTTAAGACCTGAATCATGTGCAGGTCATTTCAGAGAACATCTCCTTGGGTACCCAGGTGTGAGGTAGGGGGGAGCAGCGTGCCAAATGTGAAGTACCACCAATGAGACCGTCCCCTTGCTGCAACCCAGTTCAGAGTGGCTGCCTCCCAGTGTGAACGGCACCTTCTGTGTGTAGGGGCTGCCCCTGGTTTGTACTAAATGCATCCTTGGCAGTTTTTAGGAACAGATAAGGAACAGATCTACAGCAAATGACATGGGGTGACTTCTGGTCCAGGCCCTCCCCTCCTCCTCACAGCAAAATGTAGAGCCTTGTAGCACTCCATGAGGCCCC